CCATATCTCTGAGTTTCGAGTGGGCGCTTGTCGCCAGTTTGCTGCGCACCTGTTTGCATGCATGTAAAGTGTGAATGAGAGCGAGTCTGATTGAACTACTATCAAATAGGCTGTTTATTATTAAAGGTCGCAACAGCCCCCTTTTTCTCTTCTTCTTTTCTTCGCGCGTTATCGTAGCACTGATTCCTACCTGATCGGACTGATCCCCCCCCCCCCCCCCCCCCCCTTCTTCGCCCCACTCCCAAGAAGCCAATCCATATCCGCAATTTCTGAAGTTTGTATAACCCCCATATCACGGTTCTAAGAGCCCAAAATCCCGTTCTCGCCCAACCCCCTGAATTTTAATACCACTTGCCACTACTCGTCAATGCTCCTTGTTTAATCCAGCCAACAACGGTCCACCCAGGCTGGAGTAGATTGTTCCGACCTCAGACAGTATCGGGACAAAGCGAACAAATTTCGTTATTTTCCTCCGCAAATCAGTTTTATCTCAGGCACATTTCTCCCACGATTCTCTTTCTGAGAACCCTAGCCCCAAGCGGGATAGGGAAACGTTGTCAAAAACTTTTTTGGCATTCACTCGCCATCCCGTCTCGGTTCAGAACCACATAATCAATCCTCAAATTTCAGCCAGGCCGGCCCCTCAAAATCGCAGCTTCCCTCCATACCAAACAAATCCTTTATGAAGACCCACACCCCACGTTCTGACTCATCGCCACCATGACGAGCTCGCAATCATCAGCCGCAGCGTTGGCAGCAGGATCAAGTGCAGCAAGCGGTTTGATTAAGGCACGCAGTCAAAACGAACAGGATCCAAGCCAGGAGGTCTTGAACCTGATGGTAAAGTAGACAAAAGTCACTCCAGTAGTATCCACGGCGCTGGTAAAAGAAGGCGGAGAAGAGATTGACGTGGAAGTTTGGGAGTATCCCAACGACCACCTACCTGTACTTGATGAAATTTATGAATCTCATGCAGTAGTAGCATCCTTCCCAGCCAAAATCAAGCATTGGTCGCCCACTGAGAAAAGGAGGAGGGTGCGCGAAGCTCTCAGAAATCTGGAAAACCTGAGATACACCGAGCCCAAAGTCGCGTACCAGCAAAGAGGCGGGAACGCAGTCACCGTGTTGTGCGCGGATCCAAAGTACACTGGATACCTGCTCTCAGTCCAAGCCTTGTATTGTGAAGGGTCAGTAGTTTCACTCTCCAAATGGAGACCGAACAGGTCAGCCTTGCAAGGGTCATCAAGACACAGACAATCTTTGATGACAAAGCACTATTGGATTCAATTTGATAATCTGACAGACGGCTTACATGGAGTAGTGGATGAAAGACTGAAGGAATCTTACCCCCAGTGCCCACTAGTCGAATGGGTCTCTTCAGCACCCGGTTTCCTGACCCCCAGTGCTTTCGTCGAACTGAAGACAAGCAACCCGCCCGACCTCCCAGACAAGTGGTTCTTCAAAGTGGGTCATGAAGTGCGAACTGTCGCCAGATTTGAAGCTGCACTGAAGGAAGAGAGAGAGTTGGGCACTGGCTGGACGGAAAACAGCCATAGCTGCGCCAGTACTAGTTAGTGTTTAGCTGCGTAGCACGGCGAACGTGTCCATGCCCCTTCACGTTCGGGCGAACGTGTTCGCGTGTTCGCGCGAACAGCTCACGAACATGTTCGGGCAAACATAATTTTTTTTCGTAAAAATAAAAATAAAAAAATCGTTTTTTGATTTTTTAACTCATGATTGGCTACGAATTTGAACATGACTCCAAGGCAAAAGTTGCTTGTGTTGTTATTTTACATAACATATATTTTTT